AATGATAGCAATGAATCTTATTGACTAAAACTTTAGCCTACAGGCAGGTTTTATGTCATTTGATTCTTCAACTCATTTGACAATGGTTTCATCATAAATAACATTTTTCAGTTGGATCTAATTGAGTAAAACTTTAGCCCACAGGCAAGTTTTATGTCACTAGATTCTTCTGCCTCTTTAGTAATTGAGATAGAATATTATCATAAGGGTTTAATTGGATTTAATAGAATTAAAACTTTAGCCCACAGGCAAGTTTTATGTCAATAAATCCTTCAACCCATTAGATAATAATTTTATCACAATTCTTAGAAATTATAAATTTAGCTCAATTATAATTCTAAGTTTCATGGTTTGCATTGGCAAAACATGTTTTTCAGTCACTTCCCAAAATTTAGTCACTTCTATTAATTAATCCACGAATCTTGCTCAGTTCTTCGGACTAACTGTAGTAAGTTACGTGATTTGACATACATCTTTTGGATTCCATTAATAATAAAGTGTATCTTTTGAGACAAATTCTAACTTAGTTTTGGAAGGTGTATTTTAATTTTAGTATGTCCAACTATGGTGGGGAATTATATCTTCATTATTTAGTTGGACTTTAATTGGAACCAAAATTGATTATTTAGTATGTCCAACTAATGGTGGGGAATTATGTCTTCATTTGTTAGTTGGTCAATAAATCAATTATGAGTATGTATATTATTAAGTTCATTTTATTAATTTCGCTGAAGAATGTTTTAATCAGTGGGAGTGATCATTTAGAAAAAGATCATTAAATTACTCCACTAAAGATTTTGGATTTAATTATTGTATTCATACATTTCAAATTGGATTGTATGTTAAACAATAAGTCCAAAATATTCCACAAGTATTAATCTTGTATTTGTTCATATAAATTCATAAGTTCAAATTATTGAACATTTGGTTGTGCAACATATTTATGCATATGTTGCAACAATATTAAGGAATTTATTAGAACAAAAGCATTTAACTTGTGGTGCACTGTAATTTAATAAATTTTTCAGTGATTAATAGAGTCTTTAGTTTCTTCAAAATTGATCCTGGGCCATTTCAGTTGTAAGGCTCAAAACAATTTTGTGGGACGTATAAGTAAGACTCATTATGTTCAGTTCATTTAAAATGAACATTGAAGTTATTTGGGAAGTTATGGTGTATGATTAAGATTCCAAATTTATGGACTTAGACCTTTGGTTTATTGTCTAAGTTATTGGAATGCTTCTGTGACTTGACTATCTTTTGACTATTTTTTATGAGTGGGAGTGACAGACGTGTCAACTCCAAGCTCTTAGCCGTTAGAGATAGTACTTAAAGTTAACTTATAAAGAAGTCATGGAATATAGTTAGCATTATGCTAACATTAAGAGATCTCTACTTAAGACATGCTTATAAAGTTTTAGAGATCATACAGTGTACTCTTTTGTACAATTTGGATGCGTTTTCTCCTTCAGTTGTGCACATAATGTATTTTGAGAAACATCCCTTAAGGTACCGAGAATAAACATAGGGTTTGTTCATTAAGGACCTAAGTTGGAGAATTAAAATGCATGTGACCATAATGGATACTACTCTAATTAAATAGAGGACATATCACTATGATTCGTGTGTTTTGTTCTTTAATGAAGGTTGTGCTAGTACTTGCACCAAGTGGGAGAATGTAAGATTTTCCCTAATAATATATATTATATATTAGAATCGCACTCAGGTGCGAATGCTTCGCCCAGGAGCGAAATAGGAATGAATTCTGTCCGTCCACGTGTCCAGATCTAATGGATGAGAAACACTGATTTTTTTTAAAAAGCGCGGTGGTATTTTCGTAAATAATTGAACATCGAAGTGCAAGTAAAATATATTACAAGTGCATGTAAAATGTATTATAGGTGCAAGTAAAAAATTTACACTGAGCATCAATACTAAGTGCACCTATAGTTATAAGTAGTTGCACCTATAGTTCTAAGTAGTTGCACATATAGTTATAAGTAGTTGCACCTAAGTGCATGAATGTTTGCGAGTGGTTTTCAGGAGTATTACTACCAGCTGAACTCAGATCAATGAATGTTAACAAGACAAAATTACATGCACTTATAGGTGAAAGTAGGTGCACCTATAGTTATAAGTAGTTGTACCTATAGTTATAAATAGTTGCACCTATAGTTGTAAACACACCCAGGTGCATGAATGTTTGCGGGAAGTGAATGCTAACAAGGTAAAATTACATGCACTTATAGGTAAAAGTAGGTGCACTTGTAAGTGATTTTACTTGCACCTCAATGTTCAATTATTTACGAAAATGCCACCGCAATTTTTTTAATTTATTAGATCTGGACACGTGTCGCGCGCTGATTCGTTCGCATTTCCTTCCTGGGCACTTATTCGCACCTGAGTGCATCCGTTATATATTATATATTAGGGCTTTAATTAAGTGGTGCAAGTTGACTAGGCTTATTAAGTGGTCTGGTTGGACTTAATAACTAGTAGTTGTTAGTCAACCAAACTTTGTGCCTAATATAATCCTGGATTGATGGGATACAGGATGTTGGATGTTAGAACATTCAGTGGATTGATGGGATACAGGATGTTGGATGTTAGCACATTCAGTTACGGTACTCAGATTGCTCAGTAGACACTAATACACCATCTAGGGTTCTGAGTCAGGTCTGAGGCAAAACATGGCTAACGGTCTACCGTTAAGAGGCAACACAACAGGAACATCAACTATGGCTGGAAATCTACATGGCTACGCTTCCGGTATCATACGAGGTCAGGTTTCTCGTATACTATGATTTATTATAGTTAGACTATTGTAGATCTAACATAGGAGTCCTAGTTCTCCTTCCTTTTTGTCGTAGCTGTAACCTTTAGCAACTCGAGACAAGGCAACTTACCAAGGGATGCACTCCATTCGGTTACAGAGGCAATTTAACTACTTACACCCATACCTAGTGCCTTAATTAAAAGAACTAAGGCTAAACAAGGAGCAAGCATGGGAACAAGAAGCAGGACATCAAAAAAAAAAAAAAAAAAAAAAAAAAAAAAAAAAAGATTTCGCCAAAAAGAAGCACCGCAGAATGAATAACGTCTGATTAACGGCATGAAGAAGAAAGCAGCGAAATTCTGTTTTTTTTTAAGGTGTAAAACGACGGTGTTTTGTGGCATGGTCCACACAGTAATTTGAGGAATAAACTCTTAGCAAAAAAATAACAATTTCTTTGTTGGGCTACTGAAATATTTCTAATCTGGGCCAGAATAAACTCTTGGAGAAGTCCAGGCTTGCTTATCAATGCCCAGATTCTATGTAAGGGCCTTCCAGAAAGAAGAAGCAGAAAAGTGATAGATAAAGATTTCGTAGGCTTCCCACCAATTGTGAACCAATCATTCAGATTTTTGACATGATGACATTTTACTTCTTTGAATTTATTGATATTTTCTTGATTGAACTGCTCCTCAAAACCACAGACCCTTCCGGCATTGCTCCAAATTTCTTGAAGAAAAATGGCTGCTTTTGCATCTTCAAGTGGCCTTACCCTTCAGTCTCTACAGAGCCAAAACTTCAGAAGACTTTCTTCCCATTTCCTCAACCATCATATTCAGGTAAACGCAGTCCCTTATGCAATTACCTTTCCTTCTATACATTTTTCAAAACCCTTTAAGCTGAATCAGGAAAGGTTTAAACCTGTATCATGTTCAGCTGCCCCAGCTGTGGAAACCCCTAATGTGTCATTTAGAAGCAAAAATCCAAGTGATATTAATATTTTGGTTGTGGGTTCAACTGGGTATATAGGGAGATTTGTGGCTACAGAGTTGGTTAAGAGAGGGTTCAGTGTTATAGCCATTGCTAGGGAAAGAAGTGGGATTAGAGGTAGTAACAGTAAAGAGGACACCTTGCAGCAGTTAAGTGGTGCCAATGTGTGTTTTTCAGATGTTACTGAATTAAGCAGCTTGGAGAAGAGTGTAGAGAGTTTAGGGGTTCCAATTGATGTGGTTGTATCTTGCCTTGCTAGTCGAAATGGTGGGGTGAAGGATTCTTGGAAGATTGATTATGAAGCCACTAAGAATAGTCTTGTTGTTGGGAGGAAATTTGGAGCTGCACATTTTGTGTTGCTGTCTGCAATCTGTGTGCAGAAACCCCTTCTTGAATTCCAGCGAGCAAAGTTGAAATTCGAGGGTGATTTGATGAAAGAAGCTGAAGATGATAAAGGGTTCACTTATAGTATTGTTAGGCCAACTGCATTCTTCAAGAGCTTAGCGGGACAAGTTGAATTGGTGAAAGATGGAAAGCCTTATGTGATGTTTGGGGATGGAAAGTTGTGTGCTTGCAAGCCTATAAGTGAAGAAGATTTGGCGTCATTTATTTCAGATTGTGTACTGAGTGAAGACAAAATCAATCAGGTTTTGCCTATTGGTGGCCCTGGGAAGGCCTTGACACCACTGGAGCAAGGTGAAATGCTTTTCAAATTAGCAGGGAAGGAAGCTAAGTTCATAAAAGTTCCAATTCAAATCATGGACTTTGCTATTGGATTTCTTGACTTGCTCGTTAAGGTATTTCCTTCTCTGGAAGATGCAGCTGAGTTTGGGAAAATCGGAAGGTATTATGCAGCAGAGAGTATGCTGGTGTGGGATCCCGAGAAAGGGGAGTACGACGCTGAGAACACACCAAGTTATGGAAAAGACACATTGGAAGAATTCTTTAAAAGGGTACTGAGAGAAGGAATGGCTGGTCAGGAATTAGGGGAGCAAATGATTTTCTAAATTTCTTTTAATCCTGTTTTTGACAAGTTATATGTAGAGAGGGATGCGGCTTTTCCCATTGTAGCCAATCTTTATGAGTTGTGGATTTTTCATGTTTCTGTATAAACTTTCAACGCAGTTATCCAGTTCATGTTTAGGGAGTATTGGCTCAAAAGTTGGTTCCATTCCTACACTGATTGTATGGGCATTGGTATGTATGAATAAGTGATCTTCTTTTAAAGACACAACTGAAGCTTAGTTAGACTGAAACACTCGAGAATGTTCATTCTAAATAATGTATACATACAAATACAAGATAGATTCTGTAGTATTTAACTGCAGAGTAGAATGCATGTGTAGTGTAAATGTAGAGAAATTATTTGCACAGCACAGGATAGGGACTCAAACTCCTCGAAAATAAGCTCGCTGGCTGGGTGGCTACTTGGGGATTTTCTTGGAGAGGGAGTGGATTGAAAGGATAATAAGCAGCAGCAACACGATGAAGGCGAAAAAGGAGACAGCTAAGGAAGCCCCAAGGTGTGTGCATAACTTGCCATACTTATTGCAGACTTTAGTCCACCCAACATGAGAATTGCCCTTCAAACCTATGTAAGCTACTCCCCCTGCTGCTCCTGTTGCTGTACCCACTATCCCCAGCATTACCTGAATTCATTCATTATTACTGCATGTTAATGTTATCATCATTTTTATTCATACAAATTGTTGAGAGCTTAGCTTACCACATCCAGGATAATAAAATGGGAAACTAGTGCTGGGCAGAAACCAGGCTTAATGAGGAGGTTATAGAATGAAGCTAGAGTGGAGATGATGGTGTAGAGCCCAGCCACAGATAGTCCTGCTACAAAGTATCTGCATTCAAAATTTCTCAATTTATTTAATTACTCCATTCATTCTTCTAATCTAACTATTTTGTTACACTTCTACTATACATACTTCCAAATTCTACTCCCTAATGTAGCAAACAAAGATTGGTTATTTTCATCATGTGATTTACAGAAAAGTATCTATATCAAGAACTTGTGAGAGAGAGTAAAAGTTGGAAGTATAAAATGGGAGTCCCCATTTTGTTATCACCAATTTTCAAAGTAGTGACATGGCTATTAAGGTAGGTGGCAAATTATATCATGAACTAGGGTCTACCTTGCATTGTGGACCTTAGTTCAAACATAACATTTATTTTCTGTATATGCAGTTCACACATTCTTACCTACCGTTAACGGTTTCTGTACCTGTTAACAAATTGAAGGCACATCACATGATATATGATAACTACACACATAAATTGTTAAGTGCAGGTACAAAATATGTTAAGTGCAGATACATAACATGTTAACCAATATCTTTTGGGTCATAGTTATCATGTTTTGCGTTTATACCATGTTATGTGTCTTCAATTTGTCAATAGGTACATAAATTGTTAACAACAGATACAAATTATGTTAACTACAAACATATAATTTTTGGACCAAAGACAATGCAATATGAAACTTAGTCCATGGTATATCAATTGAAGGTTGGCACACCCCTAAACAAATGGGATATTCATATTCTGCTGTTTTAGATGTATATTATGCAGTTTTAATTTTATTAAGTTCTCAGTTTATACCTGTTTCACCATGAACACAAATAAACACAAAAGTGCCCTCTATCCTACCTATCAAATCATGTTGATTTGCCCTCTCAATTCCATTGGTTAACTAACAAAATTGGATTATTCAATCAACATAAGGTTTATATCAAGAACTCATCACTTGGAATAGTCCAATACTTTATGACCACAAGTTTTGTGTCAATATTATATGTGATAAATGTTACTTAATTATTAATAAATTAATTGATTGATTGATCAATCACAATAAATGCAATTGTTATATGGTGCATCAGGCGTGTAATGCATTGTGCGTCCTAAAAATTCTATATTTTTTATGTACATAAATGTGTAGTAAAATAATATAAATTCCTAACATAGTACACATAATCTTAACATAATACATAATACGCATAAACTCTTAACATAATACACATAAACTCTTAAGTATTAACATAATACACATAATGACAAACTCTTAACATAATACAAATAAACTCTTAGAGTGCACAATGCATTGTGCATCCTGGTGCAAGATATAATTTGTCCAAATAAATGTTATACAATGGACACTAATGCGGGATCACATCTCTAAAATAAGTTTTTTTTTTTTTTTTTTAAATTTAAATTTCTTTATTTCAATTTTTTTAATTATAGTTACAAGTTAAATATTATTATTATTTTTTAAATACTCATGATTCTTTACAAGGTAATATTTGTTCTATATTTTTTAAAATATTTTTAGCCCAATTAATCTAAACCCACACCTGCGTTTGGTTGGAGGGGGGAATTATGTGGGAAAGGAATTGTAATTCCATGGGAGTTAAATTACTGGGAATAAAGTGGGAATTTAAATTCCAGTGTTTGGTTGACAGGAATAGAATTACTGGAAATTTCAATTCCAATGTTTGGTATAGATGGGAATTGAAAGGGAATAAGTAGTATAAAGTCAAAAATGTCCATTATTGTTGTTAGACATTAATTTTAGGTTAAAAAGGAATGGATAATTTTGACTCATCACTATCTTTTTTTCCCAGGAATTAAAATCCCGGGGGGGGGGGGGGGGGGGGGGGGGACATGGGATTTTAATTCCATGAAAATGGGGGAATTGCAATTCCCTCCAACCAAACTACGGAATTTAATGGCCATTGGAATTAGGTGGGAAGGGAATTTAAAATCCCTCCAACCAAACGCCCTGTTGAGGTAACAAGTTAAAATTTATTTATTTATCTTTTTTTATTATAATTATTATTAATCCTTACATCACTTATTAGAAATTTATTTTATAACGTTTTCAAAAAAAATTATTTTATAACAAATAACATTGTAATAGATTTATGTGTGTTTTAAAAATGAACCAAAAATAAAATATAAAAAAAAAACAATTTTCTAACTTTCAATCAAAATGAAAAAATAACGTTTTATGACTTTTAACCAAACACCAAATATGAAAATATTTTCTAGAAAATAAATTATTTTTTGTAAATCATTTTTCAGAATTTACTCTTTTTTTTTTTTTTTTTTTTTTTTTTTTTTTTTTGTATTTCTAAACAGTCTCTTAATATAATTGTACTTATCTGTGACAAATCAAGAATTGCAGTTCCACCAAACATAAGACTAAAATTTGGAAGTCATGGGGCAACTCCAGCGAAGTTGGTAAGGTTGTTGACTTGATAATTACAATATTACAAGTTCAATTCACAAAGGAAGCGGCTTAATGACCTCATTGGTTTGAAATGGTAGACAACTTATATTGATTTATGTCCTTTTGATCCTTTATTGACTAGAATTATAAGGCAAAATTTATCAAGCCATTAGGTAAATGCTGTAGGTTAACCTTGTCACTCAAATAAATAAAATGGAAGGCACTAGAATATGTATAAAATTAAGATTTGACCCTCAAAGATTTTAGATTGAAAAAATAATAAATATTAAAATAGTCTAAAGGGTCTCAAAACCAAATTAAATTTACACAATAATCATAAATAAGAAATTAAGGGTGTGTTTGCTTCGTACATGATAATTGGAATCGGAATGAAAATCAAATACTTGGTAATGGAAATGGATTTTGGTAAAGACATCCAAAGCACCAAAGCATCAATATGAACAAAAAAACTAAAAATAAAAATCGAAAAGAAGTAATCCAAACTTAAAAATTAAATTACCAATTAGGAGGAAGAATAATGAAATGAAACCCTTATTTTATTAGGAGATGTGCATGTGTTTTATAATTAAAGGGTAATCAAATCTCATAGTAATACTCTATAAACCTATCAACTAAACAATAACAATGACTTAGATTCCCATTCTTGATAGCTAAACTCATCAACCAAACACACCCAAAATTTATACAATAATCACAAGTTCACAGCTGAGTACTAAAAATGTTTCATAAAATTAAACTTGTGTATCAAAATAAATTACCCATAGAAACTTACATGAAGGCTGGGGATTGAGTGAACTTTGCAGTAAGGGGTAGCATGAAAGGGGGGAATGGGTCAAGTTTCACCGAAATCAGTTCAGTCTCTTTACTAGTTACCATAACCACCACGGCCACCACCAACGAGGCAAGCAGCAACAGCCTCAAAATCGCCTCCGTGACCTTATAATATTCCTTAGGCTTATAAGAAGGACCCGCCTTTTCCGTCTCGACGCTCCCCGTAGGAGCCACCTTTTCGGGTTCTGTAGACATAGGGCTGACACTTCAGTGGCTCTACTAATAATTAATTTAACAGATAACTTACAAAGATGAGTGCTTGAAATGGTATTTATAGGACATTATATGAGAATACTAATTCGTTTTGACAATTATGTTTCTTTGGTACATGTCAAAACATTTAATTGCAAAAAATATCTGTGAAATGAAAATGACATTCAAGAAAAAATCTATTTAATTATTTGTTAATAATATTTTTATTTGAATAATGAGTTATTCATATTGTACGCAAATAACTCTTTCTAATTAGTTTTCCAAAAAAAAAAAATAGTTTTATATTTAACGTCATTTTTTGGATTTTCTAGTGTTTGGGTACTCAAAGAAAATGAAGTCAAAGAAAAATATTCATTCTGATCAACGAAAAAAAAAAAAAAAAAAACTCAATTTAGCAGAAAATGTCTTCCTAGTATTTTACACGAATATATTTTTCGGTTTCTTTATTTTCTATCTATCTTTCCTCAATTCTTTTTTTAAGTTAGTTTCCACATTATTATTACAACGGTTGGTTTTAGGGTTTTTGGGGCCCACGGAGGTCCAACACAATCGGTTAGATTGGTGGGTTCACCGGAAAACTAAAGGCTAAAAATCACTTTGAAAGAGAAAGATGGCTGACGAAGTAGTCTATTCTCACTATAACTTCTGGTTATCCTCTTCACTTTCCTCTAAAAAACCTGCCCCCTTTACATTTTTGGAGGGGACGTATTTATAGGTGACCATCCTCTACCAATTTAAATACAAGTTTTAATGTATAATAATGTGAATTGAAATAAAAGGCTAAGTGACGTTGGGTCACCGTTACTGGGCTCTCCCAATGGCCGTATTGACCTATATTAATGGCAGGCATTGAAGTTGCAATGGTCACCTGCCGAGTCGACTCCCCCGTCGATGCCGACTCCCCGGACTCGGCTTCATGCTCGTCCGAGTTCTTCACGCGGTCTTCCCAAGGCCCATGGGACGGGTTTCCCTATTCTTCGGGCCTATTATAGCAAGCCCACTCCGCTGATCCATCCTACTTTCTTGGGCCTCTAGCCCGTTTGGGTCCATACCCCATCAACCCGCAAATTATGCCCTGGAAACGTGTTCACCTTGAATGGTGAACACGGGTCCAAACGGCGCCGTTTTTACGTAAAAAAAAATAATAATAATAAATTCGCGGATGTGGTGTTAACGGCGCGCGTTTGGTCAGATTATGAATTTTCTGTTATGAGATTATGAATGTACTATAAATTCATAATCGCATAAAAGAAAAACATTTATTAAATTATGAATTTTCTGTTATGAGATTATGAATTTACTGTAAATTCATAATCTCATAACAGAAAATTCATAATCTCAAAACAGAAAATTCATAATCTCATAACAGAAAATTCATAATCTCATAACAGAAAATTCATAATCTCATAACAGAAAATTCATAATCTTGACAGAAAATTCATAATCTCATAACAGAAAATTCATAATTTATGAATGTTGAAGAAGCTTGCGCTACAGAGGAGCAACCATGGTTTCGGACGGGAATGTGTAGGCATGGTTCCAAAGTGAATCTTCAGGCATGGATTCATAATTTATGAATGCCCGAAATCATTGCTCACCTCAAATTAAAGTGAAACCGCGAAATGTGAAAATGAAGAAGAAAAAGCACGCGATTAATTATGGAAAAAAAAAAGATAACGGTGCACTAACACCGTTGAGATCGTGTTCACCATGAATGGTGAACACGGTTCCATGGCATAACGATTACCACTATAACCATCCAAACACCACCACCACACCAACACTACCATGCACAACATCACCACCAGCCCCACAACCAATACCGTACCAATACTACCACCACCACCACTATACCACACGACCACTACCACCACTGTCACACCACCACTACTAACACCACTACCACACCACCACCACCTACACCACCACACCACTACCAACACCAACATCACTACCATACCAGGCCACCACCACAAGTACCACCACTACCAATACCACCACACACCACCACCACCACCAACACCACCACAATCACCACCACCACCACTACTACCAAACACCACAAACACCATCACTAAAAGTACCATCAACACCAACACCACCACCAGCACTATCACCACCACTACCACTAACACCAACACCAATACCAACACCACCGCAACCACCGCCATCTCCACCACTGCCACAACACCACCACACCACACCACCACCATCACAAACCACCACACCACCACGATCACCACATATTTTATTATTATTATTATTATTATTATTATTATTATTATTATTATTATTATTATTATAGCAAATAATATGTTCATTTTTAGAAAAATGAACAAAATAGAAAAGTGTAATTCTTAACTTTCAGCCAAACAAAAAAATATAATTTTCTGACATTCAATCAAACACTAAAAAATTAAAATATTTTTTTAAAAATAAATATTTTCTGAAAATTATTTTTTAAAAAATATTCTCCGAATTTCCTAACCGACTATTAATTTTGAAATAAGGATACTTTATATATACCCTTTACTATCTATACCTTTTATTCAATTGGAACGGCACCAACTATACATACTTTTATAGAATATTAAATATTTAAAATGTTAGAATGAACCCATGTAGTTTAATTTCTTGTGTAACCTGACAACAAAAAACTTTAACTCTACATTTCAACATTCACAATAATTTAATATTTTATTTCATTACTTGTGTAGCTATAAGTGCGTCCGTAACTATATGAAGTATTGAAGTACGATTTGTTTTGTCTAAAAAATTAATTCGTAATTAGCTAATAATTGAAATATTGCAATGTACAAGGACGGACATACAAATTAAAAGACATACATATGATGTTATTTCCTTCTCTTCTCCCAAATACTGCATTGAGCTGAGCCCGTGCGTGTTATGATGTTATTTCCTTGAAAATATTAAGGGTTGTATTCAATTATGAATTTTATGGACTTTTACAAAAATTTATAAACTTTAAAATTTAGAATTAGGTATTCAATTCAAATTTTTAGTGAGTCTTTAAAAGTCAAACGGTATTCAATCAAGATTTTTAAAGAGTCTTTAAAAGTCGGGTAATATTCGATTAAGACTTTTAAAGAGTCTTTAAAAGTCATGATGTATTCAAAAAGTTATGAATTTTTTTACACTTTTTAATTTTAGGACTTTTGAAGATTTCTCATTCTCAAATATAAATAGTTGAAATCCAATGCAACCATCAACCCAAAAATTTCAAAAAAAAAAAAAATTCAACCAACCCTGACAGCCTGTTTCGTTCACAAGAAAATATTTGAAGATGAATGAAATTAAAATTCTATGGAAAATAAATTTTAACAAAATGGACTCCATTGCTTGGTTGGTGGAAAAAAGAAATTACCGAGAATATGAATTACATTGTATGGTTGGGTTTGAAAATGTAAGGAATAATGCGTATAATGACAAATATAACCCTACACAACAACAATAATAATATATATATATTTTCAATAAACTTATACCTAAATTCAATAAATTATTTTTTCGTCATTATTCTATATTATCTTCGTACCTAAACTCTGACAATTTTTTATCTCTCCTAAACTTTACAATCTTCATCTAAAAATTTGAAATAATGTTATTTTTACTTCATAATTGCATGTTTATTGAATTTTTTTTTCTACAAACTTTTTATCCCTAACTTCTAAGCTTTCTCATAGAACTTTTTCTCCCTAAATACATTAACAAATAAAAATTTTCATCTATCGCGGTCAAATTTTACTATATGTTTCATAATATTTATATAAATACTTGTATAATTTTATTCTTATTCATTTTATGTTTATATTCGTAATATATATATATATACACAAAATAATGCTATATATTTATTTACCAAGTATTTTATTAATACCATGAAAAAATTAAAAAACATAATTAATAAAGTCAATCATATTAACTACGGGATTTGTTGACAAAGATTACTTTCAGATCACACAACAAATTGAAGTGCGAACTACCTCGCAATGTCCTTGTTTGACAATCAGCAGTTAGTGGCTAGCGTTAGCGAATTTGACCAATGAATTATATCATTGGCTGGTAAAAAAATATTCAAAAAAATTAGCTATTTAGATTAACATGTAAAATGACCTAAGGGTATACATATAATAATAATAATAATAATAATAATAATAATAATAATAATAATAATAATAATAATAATAATAATAATAATAATAATAATAATAATAATAATAGTAATTGTTTTAATCCAATCATATTAACTACTTGAGGAATTTATTGACAAAAAGAGTATTCAAATCACACAACAAATTGAAGTGGAAAACAACCTCAAACGGGCGGGAACGAGTGCGGCGGCCATGGCCGCTGCCCTCGTCCCAAATGGCCATGGCTGTCCGGGCCGTCCCCAGACATGTAAATTAACCTGCTATATAGGTAAATTTTAACTTAATTGAACAATTTTACTTGTTTAGGGGATCTGAATGGAGCTTTTTTTACTCAGGGGACCTAATTGCACTATCCGAATGACTTAGGGGACCAATTTGACACTTTTCCCAATACTTTATTTGAACATTTCTGTTACTATAAATTTTAGTGTTCAATATTGTTATGAATTTCTTATGAAGTAGTTTTTTTTTTTTTTTTTTTTTTTTTTTTTGGTAGACGCTTTTTAATACTACATAAGTAATTAGCATATAAGTCTCACCATACTATGGATAAAAATAATAATTTTTGAGAATGTTGATGTGGGTGAAGAACTAACTATATAATTAGAAAAATTTTATGATATATTATAATATGTTCTGTAAGAAAATTATAAATGATAAGAATCGAAATGATTGAAAATTTGTAAGGATGTATTTAACTTAGAATTTTAATGACTTTTGTAAACCTTTTAAAATAAAAAAGTTGATAAAAGTTTATTAATATTTTTTATATAGACTTTTATAGAGTCTTAAAAAGTTTAAAAAATTTTTGAACGACTCTATGAAAGTCAATAAAAATTTATTAAAATCTATCATTTA